GAACAATTCAAAACAAATTTTCTTTCTTCAAGAAGGAGCCACAATCCTCTAATAATGCGGGTAAATAAGTCATTGCACGATGATTGATCATTACAGCAGACAATTTCACATTTTTTTACGTCGTGCCGCTTGACAGCTTCAAAATTGAAATAACTTTTAGGTTGGGATTGACTTAGTTGCCATGGTAACTAAATAATCAAGTCGAGGTCAAGTTAAATCAAAAAATAAATTTTAATTATTTAAACACAATTTGGTGTGGAATTTTCTTACCGAATACCACACGAGGTCAAATTAAATCCGGAAATTTTTTCTCCCTCATGAATATTTTTAGAAAATTATAATAATAATTATAATTTTCAAAATATTCATGAGCTCGAAAAAATTTCCGGAAATAATTTGACCTCTAGTGGTATTACTAGTGATAATTTGTTATTTATTTTTGATTATTTTACAAAATAATTTTTGGAATTTAATTTGGATTTAAAGAGCCATATAAATGTCAAAAAGTATGACATGTAGATCTTTTTTAAATATATTTTTTTAAATATGTATTATTCTGTTCCTGGATGGAACTTAAATTAATAGGTATATTGTATTAAAACAAGTTTTTTGTGAAAATGTATTTTTTTGTTGTTTTATAGGTTATTAAATGTAATACAAATTGTATATTTAAATATCTTAATTTTAATTTTAAGGCCTAGGTAAGGGATTAAATAAATCTAAATGCAAAAAATTTTTACCCTATAAAATTATAATAATATCTCTGTTTTAGACTCTGCAAATAATATTTTTGTTCACCGCAATATTGGACGTTCTAGCCATGCTATTCCACTACCCAATGAAAACACAAATATTCTTGGGACGTACAAGAAGCGCCATGTTCAACGGCTTAGTAGCGCCTGTGGGTTTAACAACGTTCACGTTATTCTGGACTTTATTTAAGTACGACAGAGATTTGGTGCTACCAGAATGCGTCGACCAAATTTTGAAGCCCTGGTTAAATCATACCTTGCATACATTAATTTTGTTGCCAATTTTTGTTGAATTTTTACTGCCCAAAAGACACAATTTTGTGTCATTTGGCGAATCTATGAGGCTTCTGGTGGCCTTTGTTGGAATATACAATATCATGTAAGTATTTATTTAATTTCAAGGATGTTTATAAACATTAGCTTGTAATTTTAACAAAATAAGCGTGTGTACCAATGTACGCGCGTAACTATAAAAAATAGTTCGGCATGCAAATAATTTATGTGGAAAAAACGATAAAATGTTAGAAGAAAGATATTAAATACAATTATTAATACATTTTGAAAACCCTTTGAAAATTGAAAAAATCTAAAAAAATTAGAAAGTTTGGAAAATTTTGGAAATTTCTAATATAATTTTTTAAATTTGTGACACTATTTCTTAAAATTTATTTTAAAAATCTAAAAAAATTAGATTTGAAAATTTTGAAAATTTCCAATGCCATTTTTTAAATTTGTGCCACTGCAAATTTGTCCTACTTTTTTTTAAATTTATGCCACTGTAAACATTTTTCCTCCTATTTTTTAAATTAAACACACTTTGCAAATTTGTCTTACCATTTTTTTAATTTATCCTACTTTGACATATTTTAATAATCTTGTAAAATTCAGAAAATTTTCGAAATTTCCTAAACCATTTTTTAAATTTGTAACACTACGAATTTGTCCTATTATTTTTTTAAAAATTTGGCATATGTACACTGTGAAAATTTGTCCTCCTATTTTTTAAATTTAATACACTGTGCAAATTTGTCCTACCATTTTTAAATATATTTTACAGTGCGACATTTTGAAAATCTTTTACCATTTTTTAAATTTGTGCCACTGTGCAAATTTGTCCTGCTATTTTTTAAATTTTTCCCATTGTGCAAAATTAATTATGCCATATTTTAAATTTATCCCACTGTGCAACTTTGTCCCACCATTTTTTTAATTTACAATATTTTGAAAATCTTGTAAAATTCAGAAAATCCAAAAAATTTGAAAATCTTGTGTAGTTTTGGAAATTTCTTATACCATTTTTTAAATTTGTGCCACTGTGAGAATTTATCCTACTTTTTTTTTTAAATTTATGCCATTGCGCATTTTTTTTCTAATTTTTTTAATTTATCCCACTGTACAAATTTGTCTTACCATTTTTTTAATTTATCCTACTGTGCGACATTTTAAAAATCTTGGAAAATTCAGAAAATTCAAAAATTTAAGAAATCATGTAAAATTTTGGAAATTTCTTATACCATTTTTTAAATTTGTGCCACTGTACGACATAGTCCTACCATTTTTTTAAATTTATGCCACTGTGAAAATATGTGCTACCATTTTTATAATTTATTTAGTGTGCAAATTTGTCTTACTATTTTTTTAAATTTATGCCATTATGCATTTTTTTTCTCATTTTTTAAATTTATCCCACTGTACAAATTTGTCTTACCATTTTTTTAATTTATCCTACTGTGCGACATTTTGAAAATCTTGGAAAATTCAGAAAATCCAAAAATTTAAGGAATCATGGAAAATTTTGGAAATTTCTTATACCATTTTTTAAATTTATCCCACTGTGCAAATTTGTCTTACCATTTTTATAATTTATCCTACTGTGCGACATTTAAAAAATCTTGTAAAATTTAGAAAATCCAAAAATTTAAGGAATCATGGAAAATTTTGGAAATTTCTTATACCATTTTTTAAATTTGTGCCACTGTACGACATTGTCCTACCATTTTTTTAAATTTATGCCACTGAAAATTTGTGCTACCATTTTTTTAAATTTATTTACTGTGCAAATTGGTCTTACTATTTTTTTAAATTTATGCCATTGTGCATTTTTTTCTCATTTTTTAAATTTATCCTACTGTGCGACATTTTGAAAATCTTGAAAAATTCAGAAAATCCAAAAATTTAAGAAATCATGTAAAATTTTGGAAATTTCTTATACCATTTTTTAAATTTGTGCCACTGTACGACATATATAGGACTATAGTCCTACCATTTTTTTAAATTTATGCCACTGTGAAAATATGTGCTACCATTTTTATAATTTATTTAGTGTGCAAATTTGTCTTACTATTTTTTTAAATTTATGCCATTGTGCATTTTTTTTCTCATTTTTTAAATTTATCCCACTGTACAAATTTGTCTTACCATTTTTTTAATTTATCCTACTGTGCGACATTTTGAAAATTCAGAAAATCCAAAAATTTAAGGAATCATGGAAAATTTTGGAAATTTCTTATACCATTTTTTAAATTTGTGCCACTGTACAACATAGTCCTACCATTTTTTAAATTTATGCCACTGTGAAAATTTGTGCTATCATTTTTTTAAATTTATTTAGTGTGCAAATTTGTCTTACTATTTTTTTAAATTTATGCCATTGTGCATTTTTTTCTCATTTTTTAAATTTATCCCACTGTACAAATTTGTCTTACCATTTTTATAATTTATCCTACTGTGCGACATTTAAAAAATCTTGTAAAATTTAGAAAATTCAAAAATTTAAGGAATCATGGAAAATTTTGGAAATTTCTTATACCATTTTTTAAATTTGTGCCACTGTACGACATTGTCCTACCATTTTTTTAAATTTATACCACTGTGAAAATTTGTGCTACCATTTTTTAAAATTTATTTACTCTGCTAATTTGTCTTACTATTTTTTTAAATTTATGCCATTGTGCATTTTTTCTCATTTTTTATATTTATCCCACTGTACAAATTTGTCTTACCATTTTTTTAATTTATCCTGCTGTGCGACATTTTGAAAATCTTGGAAAATTCAGAAAATCCAAAATTTTTTTAAATTAGTGCAACCGAGAATTTGTCCTACTATTTTTTTTTATTTATGCCACTGTGCAAATTTTTCCTCACATTTTTTTTTAAATTTATACCACTGTACGACTTTGTCCTACCATTTTTTTAAATTTATGCCACTGTGAAAATTTGTGCTACCATTTTTTTAAATTTATTTATTGTGCGAATTTTTCCGACCATTTTTTAAATCTATGTTACAATGTATTTTACCCTTATTTTTTAATTTTGAACTACTATGGAACGCATCCCACCGTTTTTTAAATTAATGCATGCAATTTTGTTCGAACTCAGTTTTTAATTACCATAAACATAATAACAATAATTTTAATGTACTGTTTTCAATTACTCGGTTTTAAATAAATTAAATGTAAGGGCACATCTACATCTTATGCGTAACGCGTAACACGTACACACTGACTTGACTTACCTCTGCGACGGTGTTAACCTGTGACGTCACTTTAATCAATAATAAAAAGAAAAAGTTATATAAATTTAATTAATTAATTTAGTATACTAGTTTGGTATACTATTTTCATCTGTTGAAGAAGTCCCAATGAAGACAAAACCTTTCCTTCATGTTTGTTAAGTAAAAGCTTGTTTTCAAAGTTTTTGAACAAATAATAGCAATAAAACTATAAACCTTATCTATTTCGTTTTAAATTGTATTAAAGAAAACATTCGGAAAACCTCTTCATGCAAATAACATTCTCCCGATGTAAACCATCACGTTGCAAATACAAATGCAACGCGATGTTATTTGCATGACAAGATTTTCCCGAATGTTTTCTTTACTACAATTTGAAGAAAAAAAAGATGAGATTTATAGTTTTTTTGTTATAACATTATTTTGTTGTCAATATTGTTTATTGCACATCCAATTTTTGTTTCAGATTTTACTACATCTATTTCACGGACAATATATTCTTGTATCCAGTATTTCACAAGTTTAACGCATATACAAGATCAATTTTTTCTGCTCTTGTATGTGGAGTTCATTGCTTTTACACACACTTGGGCGTAACAATTCAAAATAGAAAAAATACCAATTATGTGAAGAAAACTATTTAATTTTACTGATATGTTATTTATAATATTGACTATTTATTAGCTTGCGAAGTGTGAGGATAAGAAATAAATTACTTTACTGTTTTAATGTGTTTCTTATTTAAAGTAGGTACAAACATTACACCTTGGCACACTTTGAGGATGCTTATTTTATTTAATGAATAAAATTACACAATCAAATAAATACCTTAATATTCTTGATATTATAGTCTTGAAACAGTATAAAAATTAGAACTTTCTTCTCTTCAATATGTCCGGTTTCCAGTTAATCGGATGGCTCTCTTCTGAGGCGGTATCGTCTTCTTTGTAAATTTTTATGGTTTTATCAGCTTCCGTTGTAATCAACCGGCTACCGGAGTTGTCGAAAATCATGGAGAACACACCAGCTTCACTGTCCATTGAACCTATATAATATATCAGTTATTAGTCCAGGAAACAAAGGTTGTAGAAGGAAAACTCGATGGTAGTCGGTGTTTATTTTTTTATGTTGAGTCAGGGGTGCTGATTATGAATCAGGAATATTCCCCAAAAAATTTTTTCCGCGTCCCCTAATTTCATCCCCCAAAAGGTTTTTTTTTGCTTTTTGGCTCATAACTCGCTAACCGTGAATTTTTTCATAATTTGACCTCTAATACTTTTGATTATGTACTAAATAAGGCACACGTTAAACCCCATTGCGCACCTATATGATGTGCCCTTTTGCTATGCGCAGTGTGCAAAGTTGAGCGTTGCTTTCAAAATCACTTTTTTGTTTTTTTTTATTATAGCCAAATTTTAAAAGTAATCGATCCCAAACCTTAAGGTAATGAAACATAACCGAATGGACGACTTTTTAAGGTACTAGACTTTTTTTAAAAAGTTACTGCTTTTCAAATGTTCTTTTTTCAATAAACCCATTTTTTATTTTCCAAACGGCTTTAATGAGCCAGTTCGTTCAACCCTAGAATCCGTAGTTTTTTTAAATTATTTTCATTGCAAGTGCCCCAAAAAAATTAAAGTTTTAAACCCTTGAAATATAGTTACACAAATAGAACAGTAAGTATAGTTTTTTTTAAAGAGAATAAAATAGAAATTATATCGTAGCAAATACAGTGTTATGAAAAATACAACATTTGAAAATTTGCTACAAATTGTTGTGCAAAAATAATAAATACGATACTGAAACATAACCTTTTTCTTATAGATTTTTTTTTCTCTGGGTAATTGATTTTTTAACGAAAAGTATATTATTTGTAAGTAGAATATTTCTATACACGATTTAAAGGAATTTAAATGGAAGCAATTGAAAATCCAGACATATTTCATTATTTCGCGAATTATTTGAAAATTTTCGAGTTATTCGAAATTTTTAAAAAATTTCGAAATATTCGAAATTTTTCGAATAATTCTAAATTTTTCGGGTTATCTGATTTTTTTCGGGTTATTTAATTTTTTTCGAATTATTCGTAGAATTTCGAATAATTCGAAAATTCAAATTATTCGATTCGAATTTTGAATCGACTATTTCCCTCGTCTTAATTTCCACCAATCACAAACGCGCAATTTTGAATTACAAATGGTTTCTAGGTGAAAAAACTGTGTGACAGCACCTGTCAGCAGTTTTTTCGAGTTTACCCGCGGCAAAACTTGACAGCTGTTAGTCTTGTCAAATACCATTCGGGCATCTAATTTTTCCTGTGAAAAAAATCGAAAAAAATGCATTCGTGCAGGTGCAAAAATCCTCCTCTTCGACTCGGATTTTTGTTGCCACCAGCACTCATGCTTTTTGTTAAAATATTACTTAGCAACATGTTTTTTCGATTTTTTTCGGAAAAATTAAATGCCCTTATGATATTACTTACGAATATCAATATTCGATTCGATTCGAACGATATTCGCACACCCCTAAACAGTATAATTTTAATTGAATTAAAATGATGTATAGTATAATTTTAATCATGGGAATTAAAATTATACCGCAATAAAATTTTAATTCTAGAAATTAAAATTATATTAAACATAATTTTAATTCCAGCAATAAAGTTATATTCTACATCGTTTTAAATACTTTAATTATTATTACCATAAGGAAATCATTAAGTTAACATAAGATTCAAATAAAAATTATATTATTTATAGACCTATTAAAAATAATTCATTGAATAAACATCAACACCTTTCCAATATGTAGTTATTTTTTGTAACAATTTTTATTATATTATTATTGAATAAAAATTGTGTTGTTAAATGGTAAAACGGCTTGCCATAAATAGTGAAATATGCTTTAAGAGGTTTTAACATTTTAAATAACATTTTGAAAATCAAATTTTGTTTGTTTGTCTTATGAAAATATTTGTATAATATTATGTATCAAGCTGAATAAACGCCATTTTAGTCACGAATTTAATTAAGTGCCTAGAAATGTTTATAAACGAGTTGCATACTATACTTTTTTTACGACAAATACTTAATATTATCTAAGTAACCATCCCAATAAACATTTTTGACGTAATTTTTACCATTAACATTGCTCGGTATTATTTTAAGTAAACTTAACAATTATTGATACTTTAAAATATAAAAATAACTTCAAAATATGATTATGTCAAGAAAATATTTTAACATTTGATTTTTTTATTGCTATAATTGCAAAATATTATCACAAAGTATTAAAAATTCTTATACGGGAAATGTTAAAGGTACAAAAAGTGATAGTTGTATTTACTGGAATTCCTGTTAGAATTTTTAACTTGGGAATCTACCGGCGTTAAAATCTCAACTTTTTCTGTGTACATCAAAATTTATCCCTTAAAAATGGACTAAGAATCGATATAGAAGCAGTTTTTTTACAAACGTTCATATAATCTTCTCAAATATTGGCGTCAAGAAAGTATTTAATACTTTTGTATTTTTGTATTGAGATAATAAAATAATTTTCACATTTAGTATTATATTATAAGGAAGGTACATAATTTTAATGATTGTTGACATTTGACAACTGTCAACTAACTTAAAACTAACTTCAGCCCGTGAAAAAAAATATTTTTTTACCACAGGTAGGTATAGGTATCTTAAAAATGGTAAATTGGTATAATTATGTGAGAAATTTAGTTGAAGTTTAAAAAATATAGAATTTTAGTTATGTACTAACCTGGTTGCACAGGAGCTTGCAGTCTTTGGAAATTATATCCCGTCCTCCAGTCCCAGAAATGCAAAGTACCATTGTCGCCCCCCGATACAAGAACTCCATCTGGATTTACTGCCAAACAATTGACAATAGCGTTGTGTCCGGATAAATTTTGAATAAACTTTCCGTCCGGACATTTCCACTGTTTGATATTGTCTGGGGAACCAGATGCAAACATATTCCTAGAAAAAGTAGTCTGTATAGTTTTAGTAGTTTTTTACAAACAGTCAGAATTGTACATATTAATAATTTTCTAAATAAATTTAATTGTAAAAATAAGTAATAACCATGGTACAAGAAAACAAGGTATGTTCTTGCACATCTGTTAACACCACTCCATCGGATTGGCAAAGAGGTGTTACTATTTACATTTTGATGTGAGTTGTTTTTTAAGCTATTTTAAAGTTTTGTACGTGTAAAAAATGTCTACCTGCCAAGTGGAAATCTTTGAAAACAATGCCAAAAGAAAAAAACCTGGAAATCCAATACATTTCCTTAGTATGGGCTTACAAAAAATGATGTTAAGGATAGTAAGTAGATTTATTTTAAAAACAATAAAATAGCTGTAGTTTTTTAGAGGTACTTTTGTATACACAGATTATCTGTGACAGATATATAAATAAAAAAATAATTTAAGGTAATGTTTTAGTTTAATATTTTTATTTGTTTTGTAGCTTGTATTTGTTCCATTTACTTTGAAGATTGTTGCTATAAGAAGGAAAATTAGATCGAAAGAACATACCAACTACATTTCTATAAAACAGTATTTACAAGTTTAAAACTTGGAAAAACAATATACGAGGTGTGTTCAGAAAATAACGGGAATTGTTAAATTTCGCGGGTTGGGTTGGGTTGGTGTTTTATGAGCTCGGCGATTTTTCGTTCGTTAAAAGAAATGGATCAAAGAATTTGTATCCAATTTTGCTTAAAAAATGAAATAACTTTTGTGAAATGTTAACAAAGCCCTATAGTGAGTCTGCTATAAGTAAAACAAGAGTTTACAAGTGGTATAAGAGTTTCCAAGATGGCCGTGAAGACGTTGAAGATGAAGAACGCCTCGAACGCACAAGCACATTAACAACCGATAAAACATGGAAAAAGTGGAAGAAATGGTTATAAACCATCAGAGAAGTCGCTGATGATGTTGGTATATCGATTGGCTCATCCCATGAAATGTTTTCGAATGTTTTGGGTATGAAAGGCTTGGCAGCAAAATTTGTTCTAAAATTGTTAAATTTTGAAAATTTTTTTTAGCCAAAAACAATATTGTAATGATGCCCCAGCCTCCATATTCGCCAGACATGCCTCTGTCTGACTGTTTCCTATTCCAAAAATAAAGAGAACCTTAAAGGGCCGTCGTTTTGCAAGCATAAATGACATTAAAAGCCCATCGCTGAAAGAACTAAAGGCTATCCCAAAGATCGAGTTTTAGAAGTGTTTCGAGTATTGGAAGAAGAGCTGGCACATGTGCATAATATCCAATGGGGACTATTTTGAAGGCGACAACATTAATCAGCCATTCTACGCTACTCGGGAATTTTTGTAGCGTCCGTTACAATCAAAAATTGTGAGTAAAACTACCGTAATTATTATGCTTATAAGTCCAATTATTACAAGCATAATAAACATGTTTGCAATATTAACTATTGTAACAGTATTTAATTTAATTACGGTACATAGACGAATAAATAAATATTTGTTTAAAAAAACGAAAATTCCCGATATTTTCTGAACACACCTCGTACATCATAGTTCTTTATACAGTGAAGCATAATATAATCTTTGAAGCCCGTAACAGAAACTTAAGTACTGCAGTGTAAGAAATTAAAATAAAATTTGAAAAAAAAAATTAATCAAAATTAAATCTTTCTTTTTGCATTGTGCAGGAACTGTGCCAAGACAAGAAAGCTAATGATCTTCAAGGACAGTCAATAACAGAAACTCAAACTGCAGCATGCTGCTGATAATAAAGTGATATTGAAACATCCCAAAAGCATTAGAAAACCAGCTTATACCATACCATAATATTTTTCACAAGTTTAGTTTGTTTTATTCAATGTTGGCTCCATGCTGGCCAATTTAGGGTTTTTATTTGGCACCTAAACTAAACTAAATTATTCGTAAATACAATTTCTTGCAATGTTAATGTTGCTTTTCATTCCATTCTTAATATTTGCTTCAAACATGATATTTTATTTTATTGAAAATGGCTCTAAAACAAAATATTTTATTTGAAAACCCATAATTTAAAACATTTAACCTAAAATCTAAAATTAAATTTTTCTTAGCACTTTTTTCATATATTTGGTATTTAGTAAATATTTACTTAAAAAAAATAGGGTAAACCACATAGTTATTGAACACTAAGGAATATTATTTATTTAAAATTTATATATGCTGTTGTTTTAAAGATTTTAGTTTATTTCCTGTAAATATATAAAAAGGTTAGTTTGTTTGTTTAAACTTTATTTACGTTTACCTACTTAAAAATAAGAATATTTGAATTTTTAATAATAGTTTTATAAAAACATGCAAAAAAGTATAGTAATTGGACACATGGACCATAGTTATTGGACATACAATTTTTATATAAACATAACAACTTTACATCAAATAACATAAATTGTTAAATATTTTTTAAAGATAAATTGCTGTTTTAGGTAATTTTTTTTATTTCGTTTTTGTAAATATCATATAATTCATATATTTCTTTCTCGGATTCCTCATCCCTTTTCTGGATTCTGAAGGTAACTACTAATTTCTTGGTATGACTTCTGAAATAGTTTGTTGCAAATATCTCTAGTTTGTGAAGCATTTATAATGTTTAGACGGGAACAGAATGATTTATATATGTTACGGCTAATGTGCAAACTTGGATAGTTTATAAACTAGCTGGATAGTTTATAATCTAGCCAAACTGTCAGCTATTTTAATTGAAAATGTATTTTCTACTAAATTAGCGGCTAGTTTACAAAATAACCAAGGATCTTGGCTAATTTACTTGAAATTATTAGGGAAACTAAAATAGCTGGATAGTTTGTATACTATCCAATTCAATTTGGCTAATATGAAAACCAAAATTTCTAGTAACACAAAATAGCCAAGCTTTAGCTAGTTTGTAAACTAACCAACTAATTCTCTGGCTAATTTCTTATAACGTCACAATTAGGACTTTTGCGGGATTTTATGAAAATTAATTTTTTTACAAGTTTTTTTTACAATTTTTTTGTTATTGTTATTTATTAAAAATTATATCTCAAACAGTCAATATAACTTCAACATTAGCGGCCTTTAATGCCTACATTCAATCTAACATCAGGTATGGTATAATATTTTGGATTCATTCTCCAGATACAGAACGAACATTTATCTTACAAAAAAAATGTATAAGAAGAATTTTTTCATTAAAAGAAACTGATTCTTGTAGACCCTATTTTATAAATCATAGGCTTTTAACAATTTATAGCCTTTTTATATATGAAGCAGTTTTGTTTGTAAGAAAGAACCTGGATCTGTTTGAAGCATTTAGGAATTTCCATTGTTATGAAACAAGATTTAAATCAAATTATTCAAAAAATAAATTAAATTTCACTTATTTACAAAATAATGTTCCAAATTCTATACTTAAGGTATTTAACAAGCTGCCTGAAAAATGTAGGAATCTTTCGACTAAGAAATTAAAAAGTAAATTAAAATTTTTTTTAATGGAAAAATCCTTTTACTCAATGGAGGAATTTTTTAATGATGATCTTTCGCAACACTTATCGTAAAGTTTTTTATGCTATATATTATATTTTTATATGTGTTGTACTTTATTTAGCTTTTTTTGGGCCCACGCTCCCCATAAATAGTTATCATTTCGGTATAATCATCAAGGAAAACATTATCTATAATAACTTAATTTATTACCTAATATAATATTAATGACAAAAGTAAAGATTGACAGCATTGTCAATAATAACTTAATTTATAACCTAATATAATATTAATGACAGGAGTAAAGATTGACAGCAGTTTTACAATCAATTCAATTCCAGTGGACCAAATATTTTACATATTTTTTATTATCAACAATGCAACCTAAGTATCCTAGAAATTTAAAGAATTCCCTGTGGTGATCTATTGGGATTGGCTATCGTTTTTTATTCTTATCTCCCTTATCCTTTGCGTTGGACAATTTGAATTTTTAAATATGTGTTTCAAATTACTTTCGGTACGTTCCCTTTTTCTCTGTGGCGCGAGTTCTGGGACACCCTGTATATATTTTTTTATAAATGTGTTCATATAATTATATATTTTTAAATGTGCTTATGTACTTTTAATTGTGTATCTTATATTTATATTTTTAAATGTTTCCTAATTGGATAAGTATTTTTATCACATTTGTATATTTGACGTGTTTTTCACCATTTGGTATTTTTTTTAAACGAATAAAGGTTATTATTTTTATTATTATTATAGTTAATTTCCAAATTAAAATAACGACATAGACTTACAAATTTGGATGCAACACGACATCCCTGACGCTCTTCTTGTGATTGGTCAGCGTGCATATGGACTTCCCGGCTGCTAGATCCCACAGCCTTATCGTGGAATCGTGCGAGCCGGTGATGATCTGCGGTTCCGACGCTTGCGCAATCACCGTGGAAACGGTGTGCGTGTGTCCCGTCAGAGTGTGGATGTTGGCTTTGGTGCGCATGTCCCAAACGCGCGCCGTCGAGTCTCTGCCGGCCGACAAAAGAACGTCTATGGTGGGGTGCAAGGCTAGAGAGTACACGGCGGAGAGATGGCCGTGGTAATGTCGAATCACCTTTAATAAAATGATTAACGATTAAGCATGGAAAATTAAAAAAATAAACAGTAATTTTTGAATATGTGGATTCACCACCCCTCAAAACGACCCTTTACTAAATTTGATTGAAAAATTTTAAGTAGAAAAATGCACAATAATATCTACAAAAATTTATTGTCAAGTTATCCATGAAAAAAAATTCAAATAAAATTAAACTACTATTAGTTACTAACATGGTACTATTACTATAAGTTTAATTTTATTTCAATGTTTTTTTCATGGATAACTTGACAGAATAAATTTTTGTAGTTATTATTGGGCATTTTTATACTTTTTTATATTTTTCAATAAAATTTAGCATATGGTCGTTTTGAACTGACATAGTAGGCCTTGTATTTTGTACAAATATGGCGTTTTTTGCTCCAAAAATACAGTTTATCAAGATTTACACTTTAAAACAAATCCGGTTAAAATCGCACAATAAATAAAGATTTTACAGGGGTGAGTCGCAAACAAATGGGTCACACTGTATATATATATATATATTAGGGTGTTTCAAAAATATCGACTTTTTCTTTTTCTTCAAATGGTCAGCAAATTCTTTCAGAGGATGTCAAAACAAAGACCTCGTTAAAATTTGAGCTTTTAATTTGAAGATTTAGAGGTCGCGGATCGCAATTTTCTATTTTCCATTTAAATAACATAGGAATTTTTTTTTTTAACTTTGGAATTTTATACGTCTATATCGAATCAACTTATGGCAAGGAACATCTTAGATTTTTATAGTAAATTTAACGCTCTAAAAAAAATGTCTCTTATAATTTTTCTATAAATTGATTTCTTCCAGAGTTATTCGAGGCCAAAGTTTGATTTCCATCGAATTTTCTCGTTTTTTCAACTTTTAGCATCATGTAGTAAAAAAATCACATATTTATATCTGAAACATATGAAGTGTTGTAAAAAAAACAAAAAAACGTCACTTTTTTACAAAGCCTACTACAAAGTTTTAATGAAAATATGAGATGTGTATAATATGCAAAGTAATTTATTTATAAATGCATTTTTCTCGAAAATGGTGCATCTGAGCAATTCAAATCAAGAGTACCTATTTTTCGTAAAAAACTATAAATTCTCATAATTTCATAAAAAAATTAAATTATTAACCCAGAAAAAAGTTGGGGCTATTTTTGTAACTTTGCCCCCTCCAAATATTACGCCTATGATTAAATTTTAACAGTTTTGATCATAGATCTAGATTCAGCATGGCAAAATTACCAAAGTACCTACCGAAAATTCATTTGTTCATGTTCAACCCTCTAGGAATAGTTTAAAAAAAATTATCCTCTTAGGCTCCTATTCAGGGGGCCGTAGCTCCTTTAGGGAGCATTTTTTGATACATGTTTATTAAACAAAAAGTGTTATTTTTATACGAATAATGCACTGTTTAAGTTTGGCCACCCGTATAATGATAATTGTACCATAAATGTTAAAAAAACGCGAAAATTCGATGGAAATCAAACTTTGGCCTTGAATAACTCTGGAAGGAATCAATTTATAGAAAAATGATAGGAGACCTTTTTTGTAGAGCGTTAAATTTACTATGAAAATCTAAGATGATCCTTGACATAAGTTGATTTGATTCAGACGTACATATAAAATTTCAAAGTTAAAAAAAAAAAAATTCCCATGTTATTTAAATGGGAAATAGAAAATTGCGATCCGCGACCTCTAAATCTTCAAATTAAAAGCTAAAATTTTGACGAGGTCTTTGTGTTGACATCCTCTGAAAGAATTTGCCGACCATTTGAAGAAAAAGAAAAAGTCGATTTTTTTGAAACACCCTAATATATATATATATTAGGGTGGCCCAAAAAAAAAAGAATATTTTTTTTCTTCTCTTCTCTTGTGAAAATATGTTGGTTTGTCATGTTTTAAGAGCCCTGTCAAAAGATCAGCACCATTAAAAAATTTTTAGGGGTCGCTCAAGATTTTTAAAAATTACCAAAATCGTCAAAAATTGGATTTTTTTTATTTTAATTTTTTTTCTCGTTCCGATATTATTTTTTAATTTAAAAATAATAATGATTCTGAAAATTTCAAATCGATATTTTAATTTCTAAAGGTCGCTCAAGATTTTTTTAACTTTCAAAGTAGAGTATTTTGAATGTTTTCGAGCGACCTCTGAATATAAATATCAACGAACTTTTAGCGACCTTTAGAAATCAAAATATTGATTTGAAATTTACAGAATTTTTATTATTTTCAACCTAAAAAATAATATCGAGACGAGAAAAAGAATTAAAATAAAACAAAAATTCAATTTTTGACGATTTTGAAAATTTTTAAAAATCTTGAGCGACCCCTACAAAATTTTTAATCGAGCTGATATTTTGACAGGGCTCTTAAAACATGACAAACCAACATATTTTCACAAGAGACGAGAAGAAAAAAAATATTCTTTTTTTTTGGGCCACCCTAATATATATATTATATTAAAAAAAAAACTCAACTATTTTGATTTTTAATAATAAATGTTTCTTGTTTTCAGGGTATTTTAAAATTACTCTGCCAATTTATAGGCACCAAAGCTCAAACGATTAAACAAAAAAAAATCCATTTAAAACACTAAAATTGCCTAAAATATGGCATTTCGAAAAAAACGTCAAATCTTTTAAAATCGCACATTAAAAAAGATTAATAAAGATTTTACAGGGTTGAGTCGCAAACAAATGGGTAAATAATTTTTTTGCATAACTCAGCTATTTCAATCTTATAGGTACCTTCTTTTCGTTTCGATTTTTTTAAATTTAAAATATAGCATTTAAAGAAAATTTTTTTGCATAACTCAGCTTTTTTAAGCTTAGTTTCGATTATTTTGCGACCATAAGATGTCTATGAAAATCTATATTATTTTTCAAAAACTGTTGAAAAATAAATAATATATAGATATATAGGCTCTTAAAGTTCTATTTGTGACATTATTTCCATTTTGTCATCCTATATCTTCTATTACTAAACACAAAATCTTCAATAAGTTTTACAATTTCGCCCTGGTGGGTAAAGTTTGCAAAATAGACAAATATTGTTAAATTTTACTCTGGTCTAACAATATTTTCCCCTTAGTCCGCCCCTGTTGGGATGAAATGGATAGAACGTGCTTTGATGTAAGCGGAGCTTATGCGCAGTGTTGCCGGATGAATTTCATTAGAGTTCCCGACCAAATGTTATAAAAAACTCAGTTTCCCGCAAGAGTGAAAAAATAGTAATTTTGTTATTCTTAAGGTAATATGCAAGAATGGCCTTTATTATTTTCACCCATTTGGTGCTAAACAATAAGGATGGTAGTCGGTTGCGCCACCCCCTAAGTTAAAACCGTTCCTGGGCCACTAGTATCAGGGTTGGCATGATATATATCAATGATATATATCCGATATATATCATTGATATATATCATGATATTTATATCTTGATATATATCATGATATTTAAAAAAAAATAAAAATAGGTAATTTTTATTATTATAAATTTCTCGAAGCCGGTCCTGTTATTATTTTAAAAATGCTTTAGTACAGTCTCCCTTCTTGGACTGGATCTTAAAGGGCAATCCTTAGATGTTAAAAAACATTTTTATCGAAGAAAAGATATGGCTTTAGATGCACCACATTATCTAGCTAATATGCTCGACCATCGATTTTTGGGTAAATGTTTAAATAACCACCAAAGAGAACAAGCATTTACTTATTTAAATAAAATTAATCCGGATTTCATTCCTTTTGTAATGGCGCTTTTAGCTGAATCTACACCATTTCCAAAATATGTATTTGGGCCTCAGTTTAGAAATACATCACCTATGATGTGGTGGAAAGGAATTATTATTGATGATACAACTTGGCCAAATAAACAAGGCTTTCTATCTCTATGTGAACAGCTGCTTACTGCAATTGCGGCTACCGCATCTCTTGAAAGAATGTTTTCATCATTTGGACTTGTGCAATCGAAACTACGTAATAGGCTTGGAAACGAAAAAGCTGGAAAATTGACGTTTTTATTTAAATACAAAAATCAGTCAAAAAACAATAAAAATGAAAATATGGGTTGGATTTGGGAGAATTTAAAAACACAAGAATTATCGGGCCCTTCTATCGAATCTGACGAATCCGATGATAATTTACCTATAATAAAGTTGTTATAAATGTGTTAGTTTTCTTGTTATAATATCACAAATTCCTAAATTTTATTTGGCTACTAATAGTACCTACTATAAACATTCTTAGATAAACAAATTATTTAAAAAAATAAATATCAAAACTTGATATATATCGGATATATATCGGATATATATCTGATATTTTGATATTTATATAAATATCATGATATTTGCCAACCTTGACTAGTATAGACATATCCTGGAAACAAACGTGTGTCGTTACATGTCACTTTTAGAAATCCGAAAGCATCGTTGACTATAATAGTTGATGATATATTGGCGTAAAATAATATGCCAATATAGGACCAACCTTGGATAAACATTGGCAAGATATATTAAATTATCATTTTATGCCAATATAGGGCTAACGTCGGCTAAATAAATCTAAATTTGTACGAAAATAGCCGATTTTAGGGTAGAATACCTGCAAACGGTAACACTGCTTATGCGTTTTTTTGTATATTCTTAGCTTGCCGGCGACGGGGGAATCGCGAATTTTAGTAGGGTAACGCGCACACAGTGTTGCCAGGTCTCCTGTTTTAGCGAAACAATCACTTTTTAAAAACATCTTTAATAAAAATTTTCCTTTGTAACATAGAATTTGAATGGACCCAAATATTAAAATGACACGATTGACATGTTTATATCAGCAACGTCGTAATAAAATTATTATATAAATATAATATATAAATTAAATCTGATAAGTACCCACGATTTTTTAACTAATATTTAATTTTCCTTTGCGCACCATTGTCACATGCCAGCATTAAATCCTTTAATTTAAAGGATTATTGTACTATTTTTAATAAAA